GAGAAATATGGCCATTCGTTATTTCAAACATGATCAATTAGTTAGAAAAGCAAATTATTGAAGATGTCCTTTTGTTTTTTTTTGTTTTTTTATCTTTCTATGTTTTTTTCCTTTTTGCTTTTTTTTTGTTTTTGTTTTTTTTATGCCCCATCTTGTTTTTCACTCAAGGTTCTAATGATGATCAAGTTGTATAAGATCAATCGCACAGTTCAAAAAGGCTTTTTGGGCTCTAATATTTTTTTTTTATATTTTTTTTGTGAAAGAAGAGAAAAGGTATAAAGGTATAAAACAAATTGTCTTAAGGCAAAAATGGATTCTGTTTTTTTTAATCAATGTGCCTTAAGGCATGAAAAAAAGGTTACATAAGAGAAAAGGTTTAGGAATTTTTGTGTCTATGGTCATAGTAAGATTTTGATACACATTGAATTATCAATTGAAAATTTGAAAAAACATCTTACTTGGTTTTTTTTTTTAAATTCAAAATAAAATTTCAAAACTAACCTCTTTTGCTTATTGCCCAAAAAAATATTATCACATTTTTAAAGTATGAATTCAAACTCACATTTTCTGAAGTTTATAGTTGATGAGTCAAATCGTTTGAGTGATTAGGGGCATGAAAGTCTTCAAAAATATGTGGAGGTATTTGATGAACTTTTTTCCAATAGTAATAACCATTTCCTTCAAGAATCATTTCATCTTTATTATAGAATAAAACTTTTTTTTCCTTTTTTTTAATTTTTTTTAAAGTTACTTATGTAGGATTTTTAAGTCAAACAAATGCATAAAGAAAATTTCCAAAAAAAGAGATCCAAAGCTTTCAATTTTTTCAAAATAAGTTATATAACTCTTAAGGACACCATGCACATGTTATACATAAAAAGTGAAAAAATTCAAAAGAAAATCATCATATCTTGATTTTTCAAAACTCGAGATCTCTTTCTTCATCTCAACTCCTCACATTTGGCAATTGGATGGAGTTAACTTCCATTATTCTATCACTTTTGGAGTCAAAATACTACTACTGATAAGATCTTTAACATTTTCTTTCAGTTGTCTGCATTTTTCAGTTGAGTAATTGATTGCCCCTATATGATAATCACACTTGCAATTGGGATCATAACTCCTTGCTGATGGATTTAGTGTTATTTTTGGAGGCACAAGAGTAAGATATTAACCTTCTAATAGTAAAGGGACAAAGTGAGAAATAAGGATTGGCAATTTCTAAATTTTATTTCTTTTAGTCTAATAAAGCTTTCTAAATTTTATTTCTTTTACCGTTTATTTTCCTGCCGAAAAGTTTTTATAAAATAATAGTAGATAAGAGAAGGTAATTTTAATTTTTACCGCTTACTTTCCTGTTGAAAAGTTTTTATAAAATAATACTAGATAAGAGAAGGTAATTTTAACGATAGGACATACACAAAACACACTTATAAAAATAAAACTTACATTTAATAAGAACTGAACAAATTAAATAATTAAAACATCAAGAGTAAATGAAATCATTTTAATTATTTTCAATGATCTTTGAACTACACAATTAGAATATAACCCACTCTCATAATTATGTAAATTTCAATGATATAAACTTTCACTTCCAACTTAAAAACCACAAGTTGCAATCTCAAAGTTGTAATCACTTGCTAGTTCCTTCAGGAACTCAAACATATTTGTTTCCCACATGAACAAAATAAGAAACGAAAATTATGTTTTGAGTGTATAATTACCTCACCAAAATGTACGGTTGTTTAATTGGGAAAGCAAAATTTAAGAAGTTGAAACCCAACAAAGTCTATTGATGATTGATGATCTTTTCGGAGTATCCTACCAATTAGTGGTTCTTGTTTACTGGAAATTTAATCTTGTTATCGACACACAAACATGAAGCAATAGAACATTTATTTTCTGAAACACATTAATCTCCATTAATATTTTTTTCATGGATTGTAATTCCATATCTATGAAACTCCAGTAATTGCTTAGTAGATTATGTACTAAAATGGCATTAATTAATTTGCTTAGTGGTAGAATTGTAAAAAGAAAAAAGAAAAAGAAAAATATGAATTCCTTTTTTTTTTCTTTTGTGTGTGTACATATTTAAATTTAATTGATAATATTGTGCTACATAAAATGAGAAGTAATAATCTTTTATCTGCTAAAATCCGACACTCATCTTTCATATATATATATATATATATATATATATATATATATACACATTTTCATGTAACTAAAGCAAACTGCAATTGTGAGGGAAGATACCTCAAAATCTAGAATCAAACATCATGAGGCCCAAAAGATAAGTCAAAAAAATCGGAAGGAGCAACAGTGCTGTAAGAAAATCTCATTCAAAATTGTCAACACTACAGAGAGACGGCTAGATCATTTCTATTATTGTGCTTCAACTATACCAATTCCTCATTCATGGCTGAAATGTTACTTGAAAATGACTCATTCAGACAAACAATCAAGAAGGAAGCTAACAAAAGTGGCTCTATCTCCAGGCCCCTAGAGCATGTTGGGAATATTGACTCAAATCCCATAAGAGATTTGTTTGAGATTTGTTTGGGATTTGTCAGATATTGCTTGATGGACAAGAAGACTTGCAAAAGAAGAATTTCAAGAGAAAGAGGATTCTTAATAGGTAAGTTTGACTTGCAAGAGAAGAATTCTAAAAGGAAAGGGATTCTTAATAGGCAAGTTTGACTTACAGGAGAAGAATTCTAAGAGGAGAGGGATTCTTAATGGGCAAGTTTGTATGGTTATAAATAGGTGAAGTCTCTACAGGGTTAGGTATGAGAAAAAGATGTAAGAGAGTTGTAGGGTTTTGTGAGATAGACACCCCATAGAAGTATTGGGGCTTTACCTCTTATGGGTGTGTATGTTTGTTTGTGAGTAGACTAGAGGAGATTGAGAGGGTCCACATAGGTATGATGTATGGGAACATATAGGTATGTGTTTGGTTGTGTTGAAAAGGTGCACAAGAGTTTGGGTTTGTGTTTGTTTGGATAGAGAATACTTCATAGGATTAGAAGAGATTGAGAGTGTCTTATGAGTATTGATTATTGAGTAGGGGTTGATGATATGATGTATATTTGTAATTCTCTACAACTAGTGGATCTTGTTTCTCATCCGTGGATGTAGGTCAGTTGGACCGAACCACGTTAAATTGTTATCTCTTGTGTGTTTGATTTATTGTTTGATTTTACTTCCGTTAATGTGATTGGATTGAAGGCTTTTAGCCTAACAGAGCAGTCTCAACTAAATAATATTAAAGTGCTGAACGAAACATGGTGTGTAATAGAGCTGGGAACAATTTTCAATCCTCTTCCCCAACTGAAAAATGGTTACTGAAAGTAACACGAATCAATGATTGGTTTCTAAAACTAATCGACTACCCAGTGCCCACAATTTTGTGCGGGGTTTTGAATGTAACTCTCAATCTTCTCTATGAGACTGACTTGAGTCAATTTTTTTTAAACAGTAAATTAATAGGTGAATAACAAACTAATTATGCCGATTTTTTAAGCTGTTTACAATGGCAGAGTGAAATAAATAAAGTAAGCCAACAACTACCTTATGGAATGGTAAGTCTTGAGAAGCAACTACCTTAGAGAATTCCATCTTATATATGCAAATACATGTCGTCAACTTCTAATAATTGCTTTAGATACTTGGTTCAGTGCCTGCATTACTCTTCAAAGTAAGAATTGTACAAATTTGCCTTTTACTTAAACATGATGATCATCGAGGAATTGCCAAAAACTCCACTTTTGCATGTCAAGAAACATTACAAAAAAAAAAAAAAAAGATTGAGGAAACAGTGAAGTCAGCACACAACACAACTATGAACAGACAACATTATTAAGGCTTCGTTTGGTTTCTACTTTTGTTTTTTGTTATTTGTTTCCTATTATTCCAAAAGGAAAAAAAGCAAAAAGAAAATAGTAACAATTAAACGGAATTTAAATTTCACATATGCATAACAAGTTCTAGCTCCTAACAGAAAATGAACGAAAAGAGAAGATAAAAAAGAAAGCCACTTGTGAAATTTGAGGAAACTAAGATGAAAACATTATGGCAAAGAATAGTTAGAAATAAACCTTTGCATGTCAAGAAACATTTAAAAAAAAAAAAAAAAAAAGGAAGGATGAGAAAACAGTGAACTCAATACAACACAATTACTATCAGACAACATTATTAAAGCTTCCTTCGGTTTCTGCTTTTGCTTTTGCTATTTGTTTCCTTATCTTTCTACAGGGAAAAAGAAAATAGCAAATAGCCAAAGCATCAATCAAACATAATTTAAATTTCACTTATGGGGAACAAGACCTAGCCCCTAATAGAACATGAAGGAAAAAAAAGAAAATAAAAAAGTGAAATTTGAGGAAAGTAAGATTAAAACATTATGGCAAAGAATTAATATATAGAAATAAAGCATCAGGGAGAAGCTAATGTCCGAAAGCAAAGCGACACTAATTAATTATATTATATTATATAAATCCAACAATGAACAAATAATTGATAAATCCAAAAGAAAATTCAGAAAAAATCACATTACTAAACATATCCGATGTTTCTCTCCTATACCCTATTTCAAAAGCGTCTTTATAACGCTCTCTATTGTCAGAATTGGTATCAGTTTATCTAGAACTACTTTAAATTGTATCTAAAAATACAAAAATAAAATATGACAGTTGAAACATTGAATGTTTACCGTACTGTTTAAATCTTGTATCAATACGAGATTTTTAAATTCTGTAACATGGAAAGAAGTCTCATAATTTTATAAATGACATTTTAAAGAAACAAAAACAATTTTTTTTTTTTTTTGAGTTCCAAAAGTAAAAGATTTGACGCTTTCATTATTGATTTGTGAAGACCAGTGCGTATCTCCTCGCAACCTTGACACAAAAAAGAAAAAAAAAAAAAAAAAACCAATTGCTTAACGCGATCATATAGGACTCAAAAACTGACCCACATTTTAATTGAACAAAGCGAGGGAAAAAAATCTGTACAATCACACAATAATAGTCAAACAATTATTAAAATATGGAAGGTGGAAAAACAGATCTCAGCATTGCTCGGATAAACTAATTTTATTTCTTGCCAATGTTAGGGAATCCAAAAGCTACCATCATTTCTATTATTTTGGGCCCAACTATCACTTCCTAATTGATAGCAAAAGTAGAACTTGACCTAACGCATTTGGACATAAACATGCAAGAACAAGCTTATAACTGTGGCTCCCTTTCCACTCCCAAATAGAAATCAACTAAACATTCACTTTGCTCTTTGGTTGACACAAGGCATGAATTTGAGCTGAGAAAAATTTTCAATTCTCTCCTGCCACTGAAAAATGGTTTAAGAAAGTACCACAAGATCAACTTGACGTTATCTAAGATCCAATACGAAAAAAAAATGGAATTTTCCGAGATTTTATGCTTGCAATGATATTGAAAACTAGAAAAAAGCAAAAAAAAAAAAAACTACAAATCTATAAAGCTGCACTATGGAGGTATCTTCTCTCATAAAGACCAGTTATTTGGTCGGCAACAGCCCACATTATGGCTTGGCCAGGTGGTATCCTCATGAGACGAGGCAGCAGTCCTTTCCACAAAATAAGAAGTCCTTCCTCAGCATATATTGTTCGGATAGCATGGATCATGCCCTTATACTTCAACTCACCTCCATCTCGACTCTGAGCCATCAGCCTTGTTTTGACAACATCAAAGGGACCAGTACATACTGGACCTGCTGTTCCAGCAAGGAACCCTGATATCATGGACTGCCATGGTTGGAGGACTTTCCCATCACCTTCATGTTTCTTCCACAATATTACATCAAAAGCATTCTTGGCTGTAAACATTACAGCTTGGTTTGTCCCATTACGCATAATGGTTGGGGCAGCTCCAGCCCAGAGGCCAAAGAGGCCTTCTTCGCGCATGATTGTACGAGCACAATGTATGGGACCTTTGTACTTAAGAAGCGCTGGACTTAGTCCTTTCTGTTGCTGCAGTCTAATTTTCACCACCTGCACAATCAAAAACCAGTCCAAACTTCTAAGTACATTAGGATTAAAAGTGCATCATTATCCTAACCTTTACATAATAATATGCACCAATGAAAATCACATTGTCTATAAGGAACAAGAGAAACAGAGCAACAGATAACTGAAAATGCTAAAACCATGAGTGAGTGTCAAAAGTACAGCATGCAATTGATGAATACTCATTAAGCATTGTTTGACATTGCATTCCCCAAAGATATATGAATAATTCCCATTTCAAAAGGAAGAAACCTACAATCAGTTTGATCAGTGTATTTAGTTGGATACTTCCTGAGGAATTTTCTTCCCTAGCTCAGGTATCCTAACATCTCAATCAACAATAGTGAATTTTAAGGACCTAGGTTTCCATTGAACAGGTTAGACCAGCAATTTAAACCATTAAATTAGAAGTGAATAAAAATTAAAAGAAAAAAAAGGAAAAAAAGCCAACCCTGAAAATTTATATGTATGCTCCATGAAGCCAAATTAATAGCTATCACCTTCTCTACTTGCCAGCATCGGAATAATAACCTCGCTGTCCAATTCTAATTTCATTATCCAAACAACATTAATCCAACGATTTTCCCCTTTACATAGCCTTATTAAAAGTGGACAGCAAGCTTAATGGTTGCATGATATGCCATGGGCTTGATCTCACAAATTACCTTTGGAACCAATAAAAAGTACGAGGAAAATTCTTAAATTCCCAAAGAGACAGCTTAACTTCACCAGATACCACAAATTATCATCCATCTACAGTTTCCCTGCCTAATGCTTAGATACACACCTGAAACACCCCTTAGTCAATATTATGGGGAAAAAAATAAAAAAACCCAGTTATACATTCAACTTAATGTAAAATATACTAATCAATCATCAATTATAGATCCAAAACAAAAATCAAATAAGGAAAATCTTGCGGGAAAAATAGGTTCAAGCTTCATTTCAGATCTGAAAAACAATGGGTTAGAGAGAAAAGGAACGAAAATGAAAAAGAAATAATAAAGAAAATTGTTCATCGGTGTTTATAAAATATTACTTCATCAATTGACTTTCATATTTATTGACTTTCAAGATATAAAAAGAACCCAAATCAAAACCAGGAAAAAGTATAAAAGTTAAGCTGTTAAGCAAAAAAAACAATGGGAGTAACCTCAAAAGGCGTGACTATAACAAGAGCCTCAAGAACCCCAGCACCGAATCCCGCCAAAACCCTCCCTTGGTTACTCAACGTGCCAGTAGCCGAGTCCTTAAACGCGCTCTGCAACACCGCATTGGATCCCATCCTCAGCGCGTACTTGAGCGTCAGGTGAGTGGCAAAGGGAGTCAAACCTTTCCAAAGAGCCCGCAGCCCTTCGGTACGGGAGACGGTGGCGCCGCAGTGAATGATTCCCTTGTAGTTACCTGTCCTATCTAATTGCAACCTGGTTTTGATCACATCGATCGGTTGTAAACAACAGGCTTCCACGATACCACCGAAGGACCCAGAAATGGCTTTCATGTAAGGTGGGATGGATTTCTTGGATTCCATTTGGGGATTTCGATTGGGTTGAGATTCTTTCATTGCTACGGGAATTTAACTTTTTCTAAAGTTGGGAATTGAGAAAAAAGGAAGAAGAGAAGAGAAGAGGTGTTGAGGAGCTCCTCTTCCTCTTCCTCCGCAGCGATTCTGTGATTGGTTGCAGGCAATTTGGTAATTTGGTTTAGCTAGGCTGCTGCCGCGCACGCGATGTCAGAGTATTAGAAACGCAATGTACAGGTCAAAATTGACAACGAACAAGTAATTTTTTTTTGTTTTGCATCTGACAATTTCATTTTTGGGTAAAATATAAAAGTACCTTATGAATTATATTATTTTTATCAGTTTAATATTTTAAAAAATAAAATTATTAAATTGATATATAAAATCAACATGTTATTATGGTGGTATTTTAGATTAATATTGTTAGTTAATTTTGTTGATATTATGTTAATATTCAATAAAATGTTAATACATGTCAAAATAATTTAATTATCACATCATTAATGTTACATTATCGTTAAAAGAAATATTCAAAAAAATTTTAAACTTTTTTAAAATTATTAAAGGTTCAAAAATTTTAAATAAATTTAAAAAATTCTAAAATTTTTTTGAAAATATTATAATAAAAATCATGTGGTAAATATCAAAATAAAAATCATGCCATAAATATCATAATAAAAATCATGCTAAAGTTTCCCTTTTTTTTTTTTTCTCATCATTTTTAATTCAATCACAATTAAAAATAATAAATAAAAAACTAAAAAACAAAAGAAAAAAATATATTAAAAATTAAAAATTAAAAATAAAATCAAAATCAAAATCAAAATCAAAAAATAAAAAATAAAAAATAAAAAAACTTACGGTTGATTTGGATCAATAACAAGTCCATGCGAAGGTTGGAGCGCAGATCTATAAGCCTTAAAATGATATCGTTTTGAGTTTGTATAAAAGTCAAAAGTTAACGTTTTCTTTCAGGTTTCCCTTCCTCCTTCTCTCTCTAACCCTAAAGCCCTATTTTCTCTCTAAAATAACTCAATCAAAAAATTCAAACACCATAGTTTCTAGTCAAAATCTTAGAATCTAGTATTGAAAAATTTTCACAATGTTAAAAAATTCAAAAGAAACCTAAAAAAGTCCCAAAACCTATAATGTGACCACTGCTTTGCCCCTTTTAGCACTGTAAATCTCACTAGAAAAATCAATCCCCTGTCGAAAAATTTAAAGAAAAAAATAAAAAAATTCAACTAAAATCCCAAAAAAAACCCAAATTTCCCAAAAAAATTCAACCCAAATCTAAAATCCTAGAAATTGCAAAACCCTAAAGTTTTGTAATCAAAACAAAAATAGAAACCTAGAAATCTTAAAACCAACACTAAAAAAATTGAATTAAATTTCCAAAACCCAAAACAAACCCTTTTTTACTTTTTTGGTTTTAACTGGTGTTTATTGTATGCTAATTGCCCTTTGATTACTTGTGGTTGTTTTTTAGCTATGGGTTTAGGTTTTTATATAAGGATTAAAACTTCTTCAATTTGGAAAATCTCAAGTCCTACCAAAGCTCAGCAAAATAATAATTTTAATTATTCAAAAGATTGTTTTTCCTTTTGTATGTGGATTTGAGCTCAAGTTTTTCAAAACTAACTTGTGTTAAATATTCTTGGATCTTTGTAAAGATCGAGTCTACCAAACTTTTACTTTTTCAATTTTACTTTTTTTTAATCACATGCAAAAAAAAACAAAAAATAAAGTAATAATAATAAAAATAAAAACAAAAATTAAATTAAAAATCAAATAAAAATAAAAAATAAAAATAATGGATTAAAATAAAAATACAATTTTGGGTTTTTTAATCTTGAGCCTAGAATTCAAGTTCACAATTAAAGCCCAATTACAATTTTACATCTTATTATAAGAATAAAATTCAAAGCCCATCTAAATGCTAAAAAAATTCCTAAAGAAAATGAAATGTTTATAATTGTCTTTCTTTACATATTTTTTGTGAAACAAGAAGTGTACAAAGGTAAAAAAAAAAAAAAAAAACATTCAATTTGTTCAAGTCAAGAAAACATTATCAAAGAAAAAAAAAGAAGAAGCTCATATTCAACAAAAGTTTTTAAACTTTGGAAATTTAAAATGTTCCCTCTCAATAGAGGTTTTGAAACTGAAAAATTTAAAATGCTTCTTCCCAATAAAAACTTTGAAACTTTGAGAAATTTAAAAACCTACCTCTTAACAAAAGCTTTGAAACCTTGGAACATTTAAAAGGCTTTTCTTTAACAGAAGTTTTGAAACTTTGAAAATTTAAAAGGCTTCCATCAATAGAAGCTTTGAAACTTTAAAAATTCATAACTAGAAAAGCTCTTCCTTATCAGAGGTATTGAAATTTTAAAATTTTGTAGCCAGAAAGTCATTCTTAATAGAGATGTTGAAACTTTAAAAAATTTTCAACCAAAAATCTTTTTCTCAACAGAGGCATTGAAACTTTAAAAATCTAAAAAAGTACTTAGAGGTTTTAGGGATCGTGCTTAAAGTCTTATAAATCATTTTTATCTTTGAAAAAACTCTTCCTTAACAGAGGTATTGAAACTTTAAAAAATTAAAATTGAAAATTCTTATCTTAAAATGATTCCTTGTATCTCAACAACATTTTCACAACCTCATCATTGAAAATCAAATTCAAACTTCTCTTTCTCTGTATTTTTCAAAATCATTTCAACCTTAAAATTTAATTTTTCATTCTTACTTTCCAAGCATGTGTAATGAATTACTACAATGTAATGAAAAGATTTTCCAAAATCTTAACTTTAATTTCAATCTCGAAACTCTAAGTTTAATTTTTCCTCTTTTTTAAGCGTATGCAATGAATGAATATAACAAATGCAATGTTCTCAATATAATACATGTAATGAATGTAATAAATGCAATGTATACAATGTAGTTCATTTATCTCTTCAATTGCAGTAAATTAAAAGGGTTTCAAAGTTTTTTTCCAAATGTTTTCATTTTCTTAACTTTTCAACACTCCTGGTTTATGACATGGACTATCAAGCACAATCAAATGTCTTTTCAATTTTGTCATTCCAATCCAAAAATTTCTTTCTACAACCAATTCTTAAAAATTTTATTTTAAATTAATTGAGATTGATTTTTTCTAGGCTTTTTTATCATTCATTATTACTTCTACTAGTCTCAGTCTTCCTTTTAAAGCAAGATGGTGATCTTTTATGGATTTTTATTCATTTATTCATCATTATTACAATATCACAACAAACACAATGTCATTATATATGTCCTTAATCACAATGAAAGAAATAGACAAGGTGAAATATTAAAAAGTATTTGTTAAAAGAAATAAATCTGGTAAACAAAAGGACAATGATCAATCTCAATATTTGAATAGGTGTCAATTATCCAAGTAATGAATATTCCAACAATCTAATCCAAAATTCTTTTCTCAAAACCTATTCAATCAACGATCTTGACCATGTTGGGTTTTATTAGACTAACTTTACCCTTGTATAATGAGATATTCAAATGAAGTTATTCCATTTAAACATTTAAGCTGCCTTTTCAGATTTTCAACTTAAAAGCTCATTTTTTACTCAAACTGCCATTATGAATTTTCACCTTGAGTCTTCATTTTTCAACATTTTAATATCTTGACATGCACATAGGATGCAATGCATAAAGAGTTAGGCTCACAGTTATTATTGATAAATATTTCAACATTTTCAATAGAACCGGCATCAATGAACACTCTGGCAAACTTTTTTATCTTTGTTTATAAATTTATCCATGTTTTGGATCATCAACAAAGGTGCATCCTATTGCCGCCACTATCAAGGAAAAGAAAAACGCAATAAATACAATCTTACATATAGGCAAAAGTAACCAATCTATGACTTCAAGTTGTAAAACTGAATATATCACAAATCATAGAAACAATGTTTGAACTGTTATAATAATAAATATTATCATATTTACTTTATAATAACAATTATAGATTTAATTACACTTTGGTGCCAAATATTACCTACTTATAAAGAACATTTCAAACCAAAATTTTTGTGTAATAATGTTGAATTCACCTATTAAAGAAACAGCCACAAAATTTAAGCAATAAATGCAGATTATCACTTAAAAAAATAATCAAGCAAGGGTTATGTAGTTGCTTTGGGAACTATTCCTATGCTTCACAAAAATTTTACCAAATCCAACATCAATAGCATTTTCTAAATCAACAATTAAGTTCAATTATGGATTATAGGATTCCAAATTCAACATGGAACGCGTGACTAACACAAATGAAGATAGGCAGTGACAATAATTCCAGTCTTATTCAATATAACAACTCATCTGCAAAGTTATTGGCCAATATAAACATTGAAAATAGTTAGTGATTTTACTATATATACACATTCTTGATCAAGTTTTTCCATTTCTTTATCAAATTAATACTTTTTTTTGTCTAGATTCAATCTATTTACAATTTGCAAAAAAAAAAATGTTTGCATACCCATTTGTTTATATCCAATTCCTCACATCACTCATTCTATGTAAACATTTAACTTTACTAGAAATAATTAAGAAAAACAAACTAAATACTTGCAACCTTAAACACGAAAAAAGATGTAAACTTGATCATAAAAAAAAAAAAAAACTATAAGTAAAACCAAATGAAAATTTTATTAAAAAACCAGAACATTAATGTAACAGAATAAAACTTAAAACATGTAAAAAACAAAAAAAGAATTCCTCATATTTCCAAAAAAAGGAAGAATCATTTAATTAATAAATAAGTATAAAGAAAAAAATCTTAATTGATGTCCTGAAAATCCAATAGCACCTAGAGAAAAAGAAAGCAAGAGGTAAAGGAAAAATGAAGCAATTTAATCATGCAAATTGTGAGTCCTTTAAAAGATATAGCCTTTAAGACCTTTAATAAACTAAAAACCAAAAGCAAAAATAAAAATAAAAATATACCTAAATTACATATCTTTTACAAAATCTGAAAAGAAAAAGAAATTATCTTATAAGAAAGAAAAAAAATAAAAGTTTATCTTAAAAAGAAGGAATCCATTGCAACAAAAGCTTAGTAACATGAAACACGCATCATGATACGGTGATAATACTTTGTCACTAAAATCCCAAGTTCTTGAAGCTTGAAGGACAAAAAAAAATTATTAGAAAACAACAATTAAAAACAAAAATAGTAAAAGTATAATTAAATTAAACAAATTTCAAGAAGTCTGAGAAAATATGTTAAGGTTTATTATAA